AGACTCAACAGCCGTCCTGTCTCACAGATCAGTGGATCGTCGGTCTATGAACCCTAGACCCTAAACCCTGGACCGACTTGCACTTCTGACACGAAGGACACCTGCGCGCTTCGCTCGACTGTGCGCCCCGCCCAACAGCCGGGGCTGGGTTGGGCCCTTGACGTTTCGGGAGGACGGTGTGGTGAGGTGTCTCCCTCCCACTATCGTTTTTGTCTCGATGCATTCTATATGGATGGGCGGATGTGTTACTGACCGAATTTCCAATGCACTCAGTGCGAATGTGCAGAATGTAGGACGATTGCCCTGATTGATTGACGCGTTGTATTTGGTTCTCTTCTCCGTCTACCACGTTTGAGACGTAATGTCATGACGCGTTTTTGGTTGGGAGAGGAGCGAGGATGTTGTTTGAAATGTGAACTCACATGCTCCTGGACGTTGTTGGTTCTTGCGTTTGTTTCATGATTTGTTTTCACACAATGCACAATGCAGGGAGTAGTGTGTTGCCTTTACAACCCAAACCATGACCCAAACACAAGACCGCAGAGCGAGAACACCCCAACAGAGAGAAAGGAACACCCGGTGAATTCTGGGGCAGCGGTGCACTCGTAGGGCGAATTGCCTTACGGCCTCACAGATGTCCGAGTCCACACGCACCCAAACAACAACACGAAGGAAGAACAAACGACACTGCCGATATTACCGCCAGATAATCCCTTCGAAACGCTTCCTTCGAGTTGGAATTTACTAAATAAAGGGACCTGCTATCAAGACATCTCCTTTACCTATTACGGACTTCAACCTTGGGGACGGTGTCTCTCGTGGTCGTTGCGTGGGCATACTTGTATGTCTCGAAAAGCGTGGGTGGCGTCCCATCACTCGCGCATCCGAGCATGTGCAATCCCATTCCAGAACATCCAAAATCGGCGGGATGCTGGTACCGCCGCCTTCGTCCAAATCGCGTGCCCTTAGCGGAGCTCGGGATGGAAAATAAATGTCAAGTTCGATTCGGATGGGTACTGGGAGAAAAGGTATGGCAAGGAGGGAACTCAGTGGCGGGGTCACGTCACCGTGATTGGTATTTCAATGTTCACACATTTTCCTGCCAGGCGCAGATTTTGAGCAACTTCGTCACAACTTCGTCAAAGACCATGCAGTTCAAAGCGTAATCGAGTTGGGAGTCGGCGTTGATATACCCGGCACTGCACGTATCACATGTCCAACAGAAGTCTCTTTGTCTTTGCTTGACCACAGATGGCCATACTTTGGGCCTGGCGAACATAGGAGTCGACATGAGTCCGACGGTCATCAAGCAGACCGCCAGGTGTCGTTTGAATGCAAGGCATTCATCGGGTCGTTTGTACTTCTCCTTTGGTTGTCCTGACCTGCAGACTTTTTCGCGACGACCCCACGAAGTCGTTCATCCGCTACGACCCCAGCTCATTTGTTGACAATTCATGTGCGCTGTCCGGCGATCTGGCCCTCTCTCTCGACGTGCTTTTTCATTTCGTCCAAAAGGATATGTATCATCAGTATTTGTGCCATCTATTCGATGCTGCTCGCAAGTACGTCGCCATCTACGCAATAGACGAAGAGCTGCCTCGATTGGCCGCTCACGTGAAGACGCGGAAATTCTCTCAGTGGGTGAACACTTATGCACAGGAATTCGAGCTTATCCAGCACATTCCTCCTGCATTCAAGAACCAAGGGATATCCGATAGCGAATTTTCCTCTTACCGTCGTCTTTCCAAATGGAGGAACGCATATAGGGTCGCTGTAGTCCATTGACCTGTATTTGTATTTGCACATACTGTGTGTTATCCTCTATCTTGGTGCGATGCGTCGCCATGTCCAAGCAAGAGGTGTGTGGTGTCTCCGTGTGGCCTGCCGTGTACTTCGCCTTCTGCGTTTCTCCATTGAACCTCTCTAATGTATAAATGTCCGCCAGCCGTTGTATCAGCTGCACGCCGTTGGGAAAGTGGAGAGTTGGGCGTCGTCAGTAGCTGTGTGGAATAGAATTTCTTCCTCTGTGACCGACGCATCAGCATTAGACTTCGCCTCATCACGACATTGTCCGAGCGGAGATAAATGAGACGCTGAATGTGTCTTGAATGCATCCCTTTACACGGGACAGGACCCCACGTTACTACAAGCACGGCTGTCGTCCCGACACCGCGACGAAGGAGGGAAAGTCATTGTGTTTGGTTCATCAGACGACGGGTCGTGTGTCTAGGGATGTGAAATCATGTATTCTCAGCTTGGCTACAGCATATATGCACCGCCTGTGTACATGCCCCACATATCCATCACAGACGCACATTGTAGTTGAAAAAGTTGGCATCAGGGGTCCTGGAAGACATCATCGCCTAGTATCGCCTAGCTCCCGTGACATCCTCCCGGAATTTCCACATACAGAATAATGATCTAATAAACATGTTCTGAACCGTATACAGTGATGAGTGACTGAAGTACTTGTTGTCAGGATTGCCAGCTTGGCAAGACGAACCACTGCGAGCTTGTGAGCTAGGGTATATTGCTCTGTAACGGGTGGAGAGAGGAGAAGACAAGGAAAGACAAGGAAAGCATTCTGAGG